AGCACAGCAAAACCATGTTTTGCTCCTTAGCAGGCAGATCCATGACTTCAGGATTTATTGGCAACCGCTAACAGAAAACGCTTCCACAGAATGAGTTCAAAAAACTTGTCCAGTGACAGCATCTACTAGCTCCAACTCCTGCTGCAAGCCAGAGCCATGGAAGACGGGAAGACAAATGCTCTGCAACAGCATGCATACTTAAAAACGCACGTACAGTACGCATAAATTACATACCAGGATAAATCTTTCAGCACTTGAGAGTTTCAGTTTTGCTCTTCTGTTCTTGTCCTTAGCACTTTTATTGTGCCCTCACTTTTCCTCATGTCTTTTAATTTGATTGTCTTTCACTCTTCCTCTTTCAACAGTTTTTTGTGATCCTATGCCTACTACACCCATTCAACAAAAGCAGTCCTCCTCATTTCTTATGGGCAGAGGTGGCACAGATTACTGAACCTACTCACACTTCCTCACAAGGAAACCAGATGAAGTGAGCAGCTTGGGAAGTTCATGTATGGAAGCTTTGCTTCTTTACCTGATATAGCACATACGTGGTACATATCTACAAGAAGGTACATGTGCAACTACACGTATCCTTTTGTATGAATTAAATCTCATAAAGTGCAAATTCATATTATTTTTGATAAAAGTGAGTAATAACTGATTAAGCCATTGGGCAGACCACTTTGGCATTTGAGAAAGACAAAGGGGCATTCTAATAAGAAAACACATTGGAATATGACTGGATATAACGGAGGATAGAGCTCCATCTGGGGAATAAAAGGAGTCATATGAAATTCAGACAGCAAGGAAAAGAGCCTAGAATAAAAGGCTAGGAAAGACTGTTTAAGGATGAAAGATGGTATTTACATTGAACTGTAAACTGAAATGCAAACTACCATTTTCTGAAACTACAGGAAGGGCAGATATGTTTAGAAACAGTGCTCCATTTCAGAGGAGTTATATCTGATAATGCTGTCATGTACGGAACTGGTGTAATTAAATATTAAATTCAGTCAGTTCCAGAATGCTGGAGGCGAAAACCCTTAAACCACAAAACATAAAGAAAAAATAACAGTCTGCTACTGTAGATATTCTGATGGTCTCTAGTTTATCTTCAGTACTGACCAGAGGTGACTACATACTCAGACCTACAGCAACTTTAAAAAACAAAGTTATCACCAGGTCCTACGCTATTAGTCAATTTTTTATCATTGTAATATATGCATTTAATTTAACACATGCAGGTTAAAACTCTGTGACTTACAGCTTCTTTGCATTTACAAAGAGAGTAAGGACCTGTTTGGTTTTTTGTTGCTGTTTTTTTGTTTTGTTTTGTTTTTTTTGAATGTACATGGAATAACCATGGTAAAAACATGCACTTTTTTTGGAATAACTGGCTTGGGAGTCTTCAATCACTTTTATACTTTCCCTGTTGATGTAAGCAAGACAATCTTGAGGCTGACATGATTCTCAGATGGGATGCATGTAATGCAAGGATGCTGACTGCCTCATTATTTTGACTAGGACATGCTGTAACGCATTTTTCTGAGGAAAATGCCTCAAGTACAAAGTGGAGAGAGATGCTGTATTTAATGTGAATAGCCCATTAATTCAGTAGTCTAAGAGAAACCATACTCTTAGCACCGTTGTACTCGTAAGTGTATCAGCAGATGAGAGAGGAAAAGAGAAAGATCTTTGTATCAGTGTTTTCTACACAACCTCCATGTTTGATCTAGAATGAAAATCAGAATTATTCCTACCTTCACAGTGAGTGTCCTCTTCCTTTTCATCATTTACTTACCTGATCTTTCATGTTTAATTGCTGTGCTTCAGCAGATCTTTACAAGCATTTCTCTCTAAAACTTTTAACATCATACACTAACACACAACCATTGCAAGAGTGGTGATTCAAGAAGAATGTGAAATCAACAGCGAGTGTAAATTAATGAAGCACTTTATCAATTTTTCCACTAAAGAGATTTTCTCAGTTCAACCCCCAAGGCATGAAATTCAAGTTTAACGCTGCCACAGTTGGATTAATTTTTTCAGATGGTTGACTTGAAAAGAGGGATTTGATCTATACAGACAGACATGTAAGTCTGCAGTTAATTGAGCAAGTGCAAAGAGATGAGAGAGCAGCTTATTCTTTCATGAATGTTTTACAAATGTAATATAAAGAAGTAATTTCTGAAATTCAAGGGTCCAAAATTTCCACAGATTTTTTCAGAAGTGCTTTCTTTCAAATAATTCATACAGAAAAAACAAATTCTGAGAAAAACTGTGAAACTCATGTGAAATATTTTTCTTTAAAAGCATAAGTGAAGAAAGAAAAAGTTCCACATAAATTTTTAAAATAGGGTCATCGCATCTCAATTCCTTAAAATACTTTAAGTACTTCAAATAAATATATTGTGCTTTCAAACTGATAATACAATGCATAAATGAATCCTACGTACTGTAGCATGACAATTGATATTTTACTTTTGTAGCTATATATCAAAGCTCCTGGTCAACAAATGATGTCTTTGCTACAGAACAGGCCAGAGGAAAAGGGCTCTGCATTGTGAACTGCCCTCTCTTCTGGAAATGGGGGTTATTGTGGGGACAATTTGACAGCAGAAAAGAGAAAAGTGTGGATGCAGACATAGAGAAACAGACTGTACTTCAAATGACAAATAGCTACCAATTTCTCCCCAGTTATTTTAAAAGAACAAGGGAGATGGAAAGGAGAGTGGAAGGTTAAGAGGATATTCCTCTTTGTCTTCAAATTTACAGAAAAGTTACAGTCCATATCAAGAGTCATCTATTCTGAGTTGTTAAGTGTCTGTGACTGGTTAGGTCAGCATGCATGGCAGCAATCTCGGCAGCAGATCTCAACATGCTTAAAACCTTCAGGAGGAACATTATCTTCAGGAGAAACATTATCTTTGAGCAAATTCTTTACTAACCAGAATCGAAAAAGCATACACAGATTTGGCTACAGTGCAAACTGCTTTGAAAAAGAATCTGACTGAAAACATTTCCTCCATGAAGCCAATGATAAATGATATGAGAGACATTTCCTGTTCTCTTGTACACATTAAGAGTTTGCTTTGCATAGAAACTCAATTACATGCCCTGGAAAGTTCTCCCCGTAACATCATGAAAGAATGACACGATGATGAGAAGAAGAAAATTGCAAACTACACATAAACACACGAGAAACAAGCTCATGCAGAGCCTACACAAGCAAGGCGGAAGGAGCACAACCAGGTTTCACAAAGCACGCAGGAGTAAGATGTGAGAGTGACTGCTGTAAACTTTTCTATTGGCAAGAAAAGTTGATTCTCACCGTTCTGAACAAAATGGCTGAACTAAGAGCATCTGACTGGTTATGCCCAAATACCCTCCTCCTCATCCTAGGGGTGCAGAGGTGGCAATGAGAGAAAAGCCCCAGAGCAGCATGGGAATGAAATAAAGAGTCGGTTAGTATTTAAAGCACATATGTAAGTACAAATAGTAGCACAAAGTGTTTAATTCCTTATGCAATATTCTGAGCCACCTTGAGATACATCTTTCTTTGCTCTCTTGTAGGCTTTGTTAGCTTTTAAAATGCTTCTTTGCAAAGGCAAAGTGCAATCAGACCCTCCTCCCACACCCTCCTTCCTATCACCTTCCCCAGTGAGGTGATTGCAAGAATTTCCTTAAATGTTTAAATGTCATCTTTTCTTGACATTTTATCTTTTAATTTCACTTTCTTTGCATTTTCATTTCATTCAAGGATGCTATGCTGCATTTGTTCACAAGCATTTACTACACTTACATTCTAGAAATGGCTTAATTTCTCTATAGATTTGCAATGTAGAAACAACAGCTATTCTAACATTTCGTCCAAATTAAGATTAGAAAAGCCATTTAATTCGCAGTATTAACGACTGCACTCTCCTGAAGAAGGTAAGACCAACATTTTCCAAAAGCATTGCAGAAAATTCAAGACAGTCAATTTACAGTGGAGAAGGGTATTAAAACAAGACGCAAAAGGAAATTACTTTGAAAATGAGAATTTTTCTGTTCATTTCTTTATATATCCCTTACTGTCTTCTGATAAAGACATGAAGAGATTTCTAAATATCTATTTTGGTAAGGTGAGTATGTAATTGTTTTTTGCCATTTTCCTTTTGCACATTACTCATAATTTCTGCATATCACTAAATTGGTATTTAAAGGTCTAGAGTGAGATGCCTTGCTTCAGATCTCAACAATTTCTAGATAAGCCAGAGGGCAGAGGAGTGCCAAACATTCCTTCACTTTGTCAAGGCAGTGATTAATGATCACTAATATTTTAATTAAACTGGAATGGATGAGATTACAACATGGGATATGCAATTGGGCTGGCATTTTCTGTGTTACCCAAGGGATAGGTAATCTCTCTGATAGTTATCAAGCACATGGCTGTGCTTTGTAAATGACACAGGAGGCTCCTCACTGCCTTGGAGATGGCAAATTGATTTTCCTTCAGTTCACGGTCCACTGAGTTTGTGAGGGAGCAGTCTGTGCTCATTTGGCACAGAGGCCAGGATTTCCCCATGGGAAATGAAGGGAACTGCTCATATGCAATCCATAGATCAGAAAGCTGATCCTGGAGCATGATTTCCTGCTACTGAAGACAAGAAACAGTCCTGGACACTCCACACACTCAAGCAGTAAACCTGAGTTACGAAAATCTGAATATTCCAGACAGGACTTCTGTTTTGCACATTTCTTTCCTCCTTTTCATTGTCTGTCCCCTCATCTCAACCCACTTAATAACAGCTTGGTACTAGGAACTGTTTGTTCACATTTCAGGAGTTTTCAGTGAAGTTGACACAACAGTAACATCCATTTCTGGTTTATAACTGCACTCTGGAATGCTGTTTTTGTTCCAAGGTACTGCAAGCATGTCAGGGAAAATTACATATGACTCAAAATAATCAGCTCCCCTAGTAAAAATTACTTAAAAACCAAAAAGAGACACACATTACCTGGTCAGGGGAGGGTTTGTGGTTGGTTTGGTTGGAATGGGATGAGGATTTGAGGTGGTCATCCTCATAGTTGTCAGCCATCAGCTTCATACGGTTCTGAGTCTATTAAAAATAAAAAGAATAATATCAGTCTACTTTCTAATGTGCTCATAGGGACTAAAGGGAATAGGGCGTTTATGCTATCCTGTATATGCGAAATCCATATATGGAAAAAAATAAAACACATAAACAGTGTCACTAGGTACTACTGTAGAGAAATCAGTAGGTATTACTCTAAAGGTCTGGTAAAAACTTGGGAGACACATTCCAACCATTTCACTTTGAGGCTAAATTAGTTTTGCGAGTAAGTGGCTCATCTGACTTGCACCTACTAAAAGTTGTAGTGTTCATGTGCATACAAAGAAACTAATTTATTCTTATAGACCTTTGCAATTAAGGTTCAAACACCAATTTGGAGAAAAATTCGGTGAAAACATCAGTTTGATGTCCCTACGTCAGGTAAAAAGAGTAAACAAGCTGAAAGTAGGTTATTACCGAAGTAGTCCATCCAGTTTCAATATGCAAATCAGTTTTCAACTGATACACCTAAGAGTAGGAAAATTCTGAGCTTGGTCAGAAAAATGTTAATTATAGAAAAGCCTTCCTGTGAGGAAATTAAAAAGTTAACACATACGCCTTTGGGAAGAAAAGGTGACATAAAAAAAATCTATAAAATTTAAAACCGCACTCAGCCAAGCAAAGAATTAACAAAATACAAAACAAGTTTCCCAGCTTTTCTTCAACTTTTCAGGAAATTTCAAGTTCTGGAGGATGCATGATTTTTAAAAACACAAGCTATAAAATAAATTGTGGAAGAATAAATGGAATACCTTACCTTAACATTACCATTCCAGATAAGGAGTTGCAATGAACATTAAAACATACTACATGACTGTGTGTGCAAAGGACAGTGTGAGACAAAGCCCTTTTAATATACTACCCTTAAACGAGGTCCCTAAGCACCTACAAACACATGCACACAAACAAGGAAAGAAATCCACCTGGGCAAAATGTCCCACCTGCCCAGAAGGGCTCACAAAGACCATTCAGGCAGCAACGACACTCTAGGAGTAGCCTAGAGAGGACTATGAAATAGCTGGGTCGAGGGTCTTGCAAAGTGAACTGCCAGCCCTATGCTAGATACTTCACTTCCAAGTTATCTGGGTGACACTGTCCTTGGGCACTCACACCTAGAACAGACCCTAAATGGAGTGACAGCATTTCTCCTCCCAGCTCATTAGGTAAACAAAGCCCCATTTTGAGCTTTGTGAAATCCTTGTATTCCAAAAAAATACAAAGGCTAGCCAGACCTATGTTAGATATGATACATAGTAAATTATGCACAGCTAGACATATTAAATCATCAGCAATGCACTAAAATTAAATGCCTTAAATGAAAGCTCAAAGCTTACTGTAAAAATGCCAGCTGTTGATTCAATCCCTTCATAACTGCATGGTTTCTCACTGGAAACTAATTTTAATGAGTACCTCGAGGCTAGAGAATGCAGATTCAACTTGACTGTACTCAGATTATTACAGAGAAGGTCCAGGGTTTGAATCTGGATTTGATTTTATTCTTGGATTAATTTAACAAAGCTAACAATGAATTGAACTGAAGCAATAAGCAATTTAATCATGCAAAATCTTTATATTGTTTGCTCTTTTTGTCAAACAAGTTTTGAATTCCAAGTCTGACTCATCATTCATAAATCATTACTTGAAACATGCTGCATTAATACTTAAACAGCCAGTCTATTATAAAGGTGCTTTCTCCATATTTATTATTATATTTAAGGTTGGCTCTTTAACAATGTCTTCTTTGCAATGAGAGCTACTGATCTTAAATGATTTCATATTTCTTTGGAAATTTTTGGGTTTGATAATAAGTAATAACTCCTTACACAACTTTTAGTGTGCATATGGAAAGAAAAATCTGTCAAAAAGCAGAAGTTCAGCAGAATGTTAGTACAGCACATTAACTTTTCTGAGAGAAAAAGTAGCTCTTCTCAGAGGCAGACCATTTTATTATACTGCATGAAAAAAACTATGTTAACACTAATTCAGGAAGAGAAGGATATAAAAATATAAACATTTAAAGCACAGTATCCTTCACTGAAAATTCTGAAGTGGAACTGAAGAGGTTGCATATTTCTGTCACTTCAAGTAGAATAACCTACTATTAATACATGGCAGGAGGTACAACAAGAGGCTGAGAAAACTGGGTTGGTTTAGCCTGAAAAAAACAGGAGGCCTCTTTAATTACTTGATAGCAGGAAACAGAGAAGATGAAGCCTCACTCTTCCTGGAGGGGACAGGACATGAGACAATGGATGCAAATTGGAACAGAATTTCAGAAAATCAGGAAAATTATCCTAACAAGGCTGATCAAACACAACAGGCTGCCAAGAGGCTGCCATCCTTGCACTGAAGGACATCCAGACACTGAAAATGTGACTGGACAAGACCTTGAGCAAACTGGTAGTTCGTGATGCTCTCTCAGCAGCAGGATGGATGTGATCTAAAATATGCTGCAATTTTTATTATTTGGGCTTTTCATCTTCAGCTAATTTTACAGCAATCAAGGCTGGAGTTTTCAAAGGAAGAGGAAGCCAAGTTCCAAATTTCCTCTTAGTAGCTAAATATGATTTAGCTGCTTAGCTCCATCACCGCCCTTTGAACATTTTAACCCAAAACAATTTCTGCAGCATCCTGATGATGACAATCATACCCATTAGCTCACCTAGGAGGACATTTTCTATGTTCCTCCTTTAATACAATCTGACCTTTCATGGCTTCTGCTGTTACCCTAAGAGTGCATGTTTGTGACATATATGTCTTGCCAAGAAACCACCAAAATCAGTATTGTGATTTCACTACAGGAGCTAATTTACACATGTATTATTGTAATTAGGCAAAAATCAAGCGATGGAAGAAAACCAGTCTACTTCCTGATGGATACCACTAAAAATTCTTTTCCAACATTAAAATTCCAACAAGCAGTGTTGTAAATAAAATATGTAATACAGCATTATAATATTTTTCTATTTCTCTTCGTGTCAAACATGGAAATGAAAAGCTTTTTCTTAGGACTGGAATACTGACTGACAAACTTCTAATTGGTAATTTTGAAAATAACTGGAAATACATGAACTCAGTTTCTCTCCTACTGCTCCCCTCCTTCCAGAAAAAAAAAAAAAAGTTCAAAAGCATGGAAATTTCTAGAGCATATGGCTGTTGCAATGATTTAAAAACAAATCGTTTACTGTGGGGAACCACTCCAACATCCTGCAGTCCTGAACTGCTTTGTCATGGTGCTATTATACAATCCTCTCCCACCTTATGAGGTTATGGCGCAGATCCTAGGGCAAACATTTCTACATCATTGTAAAATTATGAACAACAAAGTGGTTTAACCACTGTGTCCTGTGAGAAAATAAATGAGCAGTGCAGACAAATCGGTTGTGTCAGGAGTGCTTTTGTCTAAAACCTCCAGAGCTCGCAAGCAGAACTAGTGATGATAAGAACCGGATGTCGGACCCAAATTTTGCTTAAAAAATAGCAGGCGCCATTACAGGTACCTTCTCCATGCATATGCAGACAAAATGCTAGAACGAAAAAAACAGGACAAGACGCTGCAACCCAACAGGGTTTTTTATTTTTTTGTCCACAAGGTTTCTTTCTTCTAACAGAACAGATTTCATAACCTTATTCCTTGCCTTCCAATCACACCCTGCCCCCAAAACCCTATATCTTGTCAAAGCCCTTAACAACACTCCTTAGTCTCCTACTAATCATGTGCAAAAGAACAAACAAACCCTTTAAACTAGTGTCAAACCTCAGAATTACTGAAGAGCCATTGCACACTCTCAAGCTCCTGACTGAAAGCCAGAAATGACTGTGGAGAACTTGCCATAAGAAAAGATGTCTGCAGAACTGAGTCTGTGAACCACAAGTCTGAAGCATAACATTTGCAAGGGTACTGTATCTAAAAAACTCCAGCTTCTTCTGGTTATACGTTAGACTACCCTCTAGTAGTCTATGAGATCTTGCCTACTTTCCCTTTCTCCCCTTCCAAACTTCTGCAATTGTCTTTTTGCCTCTCTGATACACTTAATACCCTTCTTGCTTCAGATCGTTACTTAATCCCAGAAGAAAATATGAGACAAGCTTATATTAATCATACATGTGAATGGTCAGCATCACCACTTCTTTTAAATGTGCTCTTTCTCCTTTTGTTGCCCTGGTCCTGCAGGGATCCCACCAAACTCTTTCTGGTTATTGTACAGTTTACTTCTGCCTGTATTCTATAACCACTAAATGTTTGTGTAAACAAGGAAATTACCATGGAGTAGACTATTCCTAATGCAACCAACACGTGAAAACTTTCATTCCAAACAGCACATGTATGATATTTTAGCTGCCAAAACTGTATCCATGGTGAATTTTGTTTAAGAATTACCAAGTTCCTCTTTCATGGATGTACTGCTTCAAAGCACACTCTCACCTGTAGGTTGCTAAGAGCAGATTACTTTATGTTCACTGCAGGCTATGCTGGTAGCTTACTTGTGCACGTCCATCCTAAAGACCAAATTAATAGATTGTATCACAGTTAAATTATTACATGAGAAAAACCAGAACTGATGCTGATCCACAAAGCGTAGGGGAAAGTCAGAGACACATTCTGGAATATAGCTGATAAAACCTAGAGGAGTCCTTCCCAGGTCTGACAAAGTCTTTATAGTGGAATTCCAGATATAAATTTGAAACCCACAGATTTAACTACAGACATTGTTTATAATATATTTTAAAGAATGTTTTTATTTGAAAGCTTGCACTAAATTGTATGTTATAATGAGAATACATACCTTTCTTAAGCATTTCTGCAGGATAGCTAGTGTTCTGGTAACCATTACCCTGGCAAGTTTCTGAAACCAAATTTTATTCATAGGAATCACACATTTCTGTATCTCTAGACAAGTCCTCTAATAAATAGCAGATATGATCTTATAAGCTGTGCATTTTCTCTATTAGTCTGCTTCATACTATGTTATGTATGCAGTAAC